TGACTTTGGGCTGCATTTTTTCTTCCTTTTTTATTTTCATTAGTTGTGAGTTTAGACTGTTCATTTGGGATTGTTCTTCTTTCCTGAGGTAGGACTGTATTGCAATGTATTTCCTTCTTAGCACAGCCTTCTCTGTGCCCCACAGATTTTGTGTTGTTGAATGATTATTGTCATTTGTCTCCATATATTGCTTCTTCTCTGTGTTTATTTGGTCATTGATCTATTCATTATTTAGAAGCACGTTGTTAAGCCTCCATGTATTTGTGGGCTTTTTCATTTTCTTTGTGTAATTTATTTCTGGTTTCATACCTTTGTGATCTGAGAAGCTGGTTGGTACCATTTCAGTCTTTTTGAATTTACTGAGGTGTTTTTTGTTGCCTGTTATATGATCTATTCTTGAAAATGTTCCATGTGCACTTGGGAAGAATGTGTATCCTGTTGCTTTTGGATAGAGTGTTCTGTAGATGTCTGTTAGGTCCATCTGTTTTGATATGTTGTTCAATGCCTCTGTCTCTTATTTTCTTTCTGGTTGATCTGTCCTTTGGAGTGGATGGTGTGTTGAAGTCTCCTAAAATGAATGCATTGCATTCTGTTTCCCCCTTTAATTCTGTTTGTATTTGTTTCACATATGTACATGATCTTGTTTTGGGTGCATAGATATTTATAATAGTTATATCCTCTTGTTGGATTGACCCTTTTATCATTATGTAATGTCCTTCTTTGTCTCTTGTTACTTTCTTTGTTTTGAGGTCTATTTTGTCTGATACAAGTACTGCAACTCCTGCTTTTTACTTACTATTAGTTGCATGAAATATCTTTTTCCATCCCTCCACTTTTAGTCTGTGTATTTCTTTGGGTTTGAAGTGAGTCTCTTGTAGGCCGCATATATATGGGTCATATTTTTTTATCCATTCAGTGACTCTATGTCTTTTGATTGGTGAATTCAGATCATTTACATTTAGGGTGATTATTGATAGGTAGGTACTTTTGCCATTGCAGGCTTTAGATTCATGGTTACTGAAGGTTCAAGGGTAATTCCCTTACTATCTAACAGTCTAATTTAACTTACTTCATATGCTGTTACAAACACAATCTAAAGATTCTTTTCTTTCCCTCCTTTTTTCTTCCTCCTCCATTCTTTGAATGTTATGAATGATATTCTGTACTCTTTGTCTATCCCTTGGCTGACATCTATTTAGCCTTAGGAATACTTCCATCTATAGGAGTCCCTCTAAAATGCACTGTAGAGGTGGTTGTGGGAGGTAAATTCTCTCGACTTTTGCTTATCTGAAAATTGTTTAATCCCTCTTTCAAATTTAAATGATAACCTTGCAGGGTAGAGTATTCCTGGTTCAAGGCCCTTCTGCTTCATTACATTAAATGTATCATGCCACTCTCTTCTGGCCTGTAAGGTTTCTGTTGAGAAGTCTGATGATAGCCTGATGGGTTTTCCTTTGTATGTGATCTTTTTTCTCTCTCTGGCTGGTTTTTAAAGTCTGTCCTTATCCTTGATCTTTGCCATTTTAATTATTTTATATCTTGATGTTGTCTTCTGTCGATCCCTTGTGTTCAGAGATCTGTGCACCTCCATGGCTTGAGAGACTTACTGCTTCCCCAGATTGGGGAAGTTTTCAGCAATTTCCTCCTCAATGACACTTTTTATCCCTTTTTCTCTCTCTTCTTCTTCTGGTACCCCTATAGTGTGAATATTGTTACGTTTGGATTGGTCACACAGGTCTCTCAATATTCTTTCATTCTTAGCGATTCTTTTTTCTCTCTTTGCCTCAGCTTCTTTGTATTCCTCTTCTCTAATTTCTATTCCATTTACCATCTCTTCTACTACATCTAATGTGCTTTTAAATCCCTCCATGTATGTTTCACTTCAGATATGGAATTTGTTAATGATTAAATCTCCAACTTAAATTCGTTCCTGAATTTGTGGATATTTTTCTGTACCTCCATAAGCATGTTTATGATTTTTATTTTGAACTCTCTTTTAGGAAGATTGGTGAGTTAAGTTCCATTTGGCCCTTTTTCTGGGGATTGTGATATTTTTATCTGAACCATGTTCTTTTGACCTTTCATATTTCTGTGTTGTGCCCACTAGTTCCCAGAAGCTCGTTTCTGGAGCTGCTCAGCCCCTAGGGTGAGGTTGGAGTTCGTAGGGGAGTGCAGCTGGTGTCTGAAGGGAGGAAAGATCTGTTTTCCTTATTCCCGTCAGAGGTGCCTGTCTCCAGTGTCAGAGCCAGTGGACCAAGCACACAGGTGTAAGTCTCTGTGCTTTGTGTCTCTAGCTGTTGTAGGCAGGGCCTCCTTCTGCTGGCTTGAAGCCAGTACAGTGACTGCCGGTTTGTGAACTGGTCCTTGCAGGGCAGGAGGAAAGCTCGGCAGGCTGCTTGTTGCAGTGGGGGCCTTGGGGCTGAGTAGGCAGCCAGGGGGATGGGGCGCCTGAAGCTCCTTAAAGTTTCCAACCAGCTGGGCCGAGCGCACCCGGACAACCTTGTCCAGTTCTCCCCTCCCCCTCACAGCAAGCTCCGTGCCTACCCCACCCCTTCAGCAGCCCGCTCGCTGCTAGGGAGCCTCTCAAACTGCTTTTCCTCTGACGCAAAGTGGCCAGGTGTGGATCCCCTCCCCCACAAATGGCTGGAATCTGTCTCTCAAGCACTCCACCTGCCTGAGTTCCCCAACATCCAGAGCACTACACAGTGTAGGTCTCTGCTCCCAAAGCAGATCTCCAGGGCTCAGTGTTCAGCAGTTCCAGGCTTCCACCCCCTCCCTGCTCCCTTACTCTTCCTCCCCCTGGTGAGCTGGGGTTAGGGAAGGTCCTGGGTCCCGCTGGATTAAGGCTTTCAGACGTTACCGTTTCATGAGGTCTGCTCTGTTCGTGAGGTCTGTGTGCAGTCCGGTTCAGCCTTCTTTCTTGTTGCTGTTTTAGGGTTGGTTGCATTAATTAACTATATTTTTGTACCATTTGTGGTTTTGGGAGGAGTTCTCTGTCTCACCTCTTATGCCGCCATCTTGAATCTCTGACTTATTTTTAACTTCAAAAATGTTTAGTGATTGCCTTAAGTTTAGAATATACATGTAATCACAGACCTTCAAATAATATACCACTTCATGAGCACTCAGTAGCAGGTTGCTGAAGAAGACTTTGCAAGTGGTTTTCGGAGGTCGTATATTGTCCTGTTGCTTCTACTCAGTATTTAGCAGTTTGTTGAATTTAGCTGACTTCTTCCCTGCCTGTATAACACCCAGTTTCTCTTTCACTGGTGTTCTTTTGTAGATGAGCCAGCAATGGCTAGGGGGAGCTGAGCAATTCAGACTGCTTTCTGACAAGATTGCTCAGTCTTTGTTTTCGCTATACATTTTATATATACCTGACTCACGATTTTCCGTGTTTCCCATTGGCTCCGGTGACTGCAATACTAAAGGTGTCATGCAATTTTCAGGCTGCTGCCATCTTGCCTCATATATTCTGTGGCCGGCAGGAATGCAGCACCAAGTAGTTCTTACCTCACCACCTGAAATGGGAAGGAAGTAGGTGTTTCTGTCAGTTCTTCTCTTTACGAACTTTGTGAGTGAGCGTTTTTAAGGCTGTCTATGGATGTGTTCAGTATCTGGCCTCTGGAAAAAGTCAAGAAAAGGGTTATTGCTAGTAATCTTTGGGATTTAACCATGGGCTGAAGAGATAATTCTGTTTACTGTACATACATCTCACTCAAGTACCTACTAGCTGAGACTATGCAGATGCTGGAAGTGTAAAGAGGCAGTTCAACAAAATTCATCTTAACTTACTTGAATGTAACTACTGCTGTAATACTCTATTAAAAATGAACAAGTCTAAAATGTCATGTAGTATATCAGAATAGAATATTTAAACTGAGACTGTTCTGGTCAATTTGGGACTCTTTGTATATTTGATGATTATATTATCTTGTCCATTAACTTCACAAACCATTACAGCTCAGATTTTTGTAACCTCTAGGCCAATAAAATGGCATGGGTAGTGGGTGCTTATCTTTGTTGCCTTCCTGCGGTCTTTCCTACTGGATATGCTTTTTCTAAAATGCAGATCTACCAGATGTCTGAAACCTCTGTATCTTTGTATAAAGAAGAAATCTCTGTACCTTCTGCCTTAAAGGCATATTTCTCCAATTTTATTCCATCTTTCAAAAGAGTTCACAGACCATTTCCTGATGCCCTCATGTTGAGTTAAGTATTTTACATCTTGGTCTACTTCTAGATATTCTAGTGTTGCATCTAATCACTTTTGTTACGAAATAGTTATTATAGATTAGCATCCCATTTTTTGGCATTGAGTTCCTTTAGGATACATGTCTTACTTTATATGCCGGTACTTAATACAAAGCTTGGACATGCTAGGCATTCACTGAATATTATTCATGTGAATTATGTTGGTCATTTTACTGGCTCTGCTTAAACTGTTTATATTGTACTAAATGAGAGCCTTTATATTTTTTTCTCATTATGAAAGACTGAACTGTTTTCATGTTCAAAATCAAAATATAAATCATTTAAGAGGACATACTGATATTTACATTTTAAAACAAGTAAGAGCTGTGACCTGCAAATATCTTGATATAAATATAGGATAGGGGATTTGGAGTTTTATGGATACACATAATTTGTTAAGTCAAGTTCTGATATGGTAATCCTCATCTATACCTTCAGGCATTTTAAAAACATATGGAAAGGTAGTTTTTGAGCAAATGAAGTGAAATACTATGTTTATCTGACACCTGAAACCGTTGAGAAAATCAAAACAATATTGTAATAACATTCCAATTTTCTATTTGCTGTCTTTAGCTTTTAGGGCATAGGGAAAAATATTTTGTAACTTGATTAATCAATAGCTAATTAAAGAGTTTGTGAATTCTCTAGTCTCTCCCTTTTCTTTATGCAATTGATTATTAAATGAAAAATTAGGTTTTATTTAAAATTATATTTTAATTTATTAACACTCTTTTTTTCTTACCCAGTGTAGTGACTATGACTTGGATTTTGGAACTGAATGTTTGCAATTGGCTCTAAAATACTGTCACATTAAAGCCAAACTTGTGGAAGGATCGCCTGACCTCTGGAAGGTAAGGGAGTTGATATTTTGCTCTGGGTCCCACCTGTGTTGGTATGTCACCCCAGACACATTCTGAAAATACAAACACTTTCCATATGCTTTAGCAATGGAGAAGTTGCATAAAAATACTTGGTTTCATTCTGAAACATTATTTCCAGGAAAAAAGGTATGTGAATACACACATTAAAGGAATTAAGAGTCTCATTGGGTTTTCTGAGACATCAAAATAGAGTTATTTCTACTGGTTTCAAGAAAATTTGTTCGAGATAATTTACTCAAATTCCACTTTAGCCAATAAGATTTTGTTATTCACAATTATTTTCCTTGTTCTCCATATATGTCCTTTTACTCTGTTGTTTTATGCCAAACCGTACTGAGATGCAACTCAGCTTCCTACAGTAGAAACATTTCATTGCAGGCTCTGGGGAGGTAGCTCCAGCTTATTAACTGTGTTGAACAATTATCTGCCACAGTTTTAACCCAGGGGGTTAGGTGGCTGGACCCACTTGGTGGCCCCAGTGGGGACTGGACTCTTTCCTGTGATAAGGGTTGACTCTTCTAACAGCAAACTTCTTTCTTTTGGAGAGATTGAAGTGGTGTCGCACTATAGTACCTACAGCTTCTTACCGAGGCAGGGTGTTTTACATTTAGACTTTCCTTTGTTTCATTGGATATAAATGTGTTGAACAGTTTATTTCTGAAATAGAATTATAGGGTCATTTCATAATTCTGAGGTATTTTGCATAGTACTATGATGGGCCTTTTTGCATGCTAAGGCTATCTAATATATACCTAAAATTTTCTAAGCTACGATTTATCTTAGATCATTGCCTGGTGTAGAAAATTAATGTAGTTTGCCCTTCTAAGGATGTCAACTCAGCAGGCAAACATTTTATGCATTTTGTTTATCCTTTTCTATATATGGCTCAGACAGTGATATATATATATATATATATATATATATGTAGTGATATGTGTACATATATATGTATATATATAGTGAGCACTTGTTAATGATCAGGTATTTTGTTAAAGGTCCTGACTCATATCTCTACTGAACACCCTTTGACTGTCAGTTGCACTTAATTTACATGCTATGTATTTAAAAAAAAAAACCAAACTGAGATATTTTATTGCTACTGACATGTGAACACTCTCTGGCCTCACTGTTGACATGTTGAGTATGTGATTATCTACCACCTGTGGGTATTCTCAGCTTTCCTCAAACTTGTAAAGCACCCTGGGGTCTGCAAATAAAAGGAAACCAGCATATTGCTCATTGAATTTCCACTCTGTTTTCACAAATTTCAGTATTCTTTTGATGAAATCCTTTATTTCACTGTTTTCTCCAATGATATAGTGTTAGTTATCACATCTTGACCCTCTCCTTTCCTTTCCTGTGCAACAAACTTCAGTGCATGCAGCAGGGATGGGCCTTTCCAAGTGCTTCATTCAGTCCCATGGTGAGACATTTCATCCATGCTGCTGTGGGTTGAATTGTGTTGTTCCCAAAAGGTATGCTCAAGTCCTAATCCCTGGACTTGAGAATGTGACCTTATTTGGAATGAGAGACTTTGCAAATTGAGTCATGTTAAGATGAGGTCATACTGACATAGAGTTGGCCCTAATGCCAAAATGTAGGAATAGGAGAAAAGATGTAGACAGATAAAGAGGGAATACCACTGACCATTGAGGCAGAGAGTGCAGTGGTGCATCTACCAGTAAAGGAAAGCCAACAATGGTCAGCAACCACAGGAAACTAGGAAGAGGCCAGCAAGGTGTCTCCTGTAAAGTCTTCAGAGGGAGCATGGCTCTGCCGACACATGGATTTCATACTTCCAGCCTCTAGTACTGTGAGAGAGTAAATTTTCTTTTTTAAGCCACCCAGTTTGATTCTTTGTTACAGCAGCCCTAGGATACTCATCTATATTCCAAAGGGTGATTCACTTTTAGGCACAGAGGTGTCATCTTCAGTGTTACTCTCCAAACTGGGGAGGCGGGAAGGTCCATTCTTAAAAAATGACTTTGTGGAGTAATTATATGCTTTAACAGGATCTTGGATCCTAAAAGGACATCGAATGCAATGGATTGGGCAAAAAGTCTTTCAAATGGCAGCTAATGAGATCATTTTTAGGTACCATGCTTCTTCTGTTAATTGAGATGAGACTATTTGTATACAATTAGTGCAGTTGTTTCTGGTTCCGAATTTCCTCCTGTTGCTTCTGTCTCCCACCGTCTTCCACTTAAAAAAAAATCTTTCTGATGTTTTCCAAGCTATTTGTTGAGCCCTATTTTGTCTCTTCAGATGACATTGTATGAGTTGTCTTTAGAATAGACTTCTCAATTAGTTTTGTGGTCTTATTTTGTGTAGATAAAGAGGATTTCAGTTGCTGTTTAAAGTAAAGCAATTGAATGTGCACCTTGAAGTTCATGTTCTAATTCCATACTAATTCCAAAGATGCTTTTTAGAATTTGGATTTGAAAAAAGACTGAGTATAATTTCAGTAAAACTCGTATTAGACTCAGGTGGCAGAGCCAAGAACCTGAAACATGATTCAGAAATCAGACACAATGAAAAACACACTTCACTAGGCATTCTACTACCATTAAACAGTAAGGCAAGGGAGGATTCTGAAAGAGGGAGACAGGATACCTTCCCCTACCTCCCAGGTCAAAGAGTACACTCTCACAGTGGTATGAGGAATAACTAGGAATTTCTTACGACTGTTTGTAGGGCTATTATTTCATCTGCCACCAGAAATTCTGGGAGGGTTATTATTTTGTATTTTACACACTTTTATTTGTAGAAGTAAATGCAAAATGTGAACATTGAGAGTTGATGCCCACCTTCCTGCAGTTATTCCTCTGAGGCCTGGAGGAAACATGGGTTTCTATAAATCACCATGCAAAGCAAAGAACATACCTAGGAATGACCAGCACTTCCCGAACCCCAAGAGTGACCAGTAACAGAAAAGTACAGGACTGATTTCTGGGATAGGGAGCAGCTCTCATGTTTTCCCTAACTGGATGCACCTTGCCACACCTTAGTGAACATACTCTTACTTCAGCCAAATTTCATACAGTCTGCACAAAAACTTCCATTCCTTACATTTATACTTGTACCAAATTTTTGTTCCGGTATACTTAAATACTTGGCACTTTTTATACTGTACAGACCTATTTGAACAGATTTCTTGATTCTTAATGTTAAAATAATCCTCAAGGCATAAGAAACTTAATAAAAGATTTATAACCAGGTGTTAAAGAAATTCAACACTATGTTCCCTTGTCTGAAAATACTTCTTTAGAAAGACTTTTTGAAATTTATTAATGGAATGACTGGATCCCTTTTGTTGGGAACTACAGTATTTTTCGATTCTAGTGTTCTAGCACTCTTGTTAAAAACAAAGTGCTCTTGCTTTTTGCTTTTTAACCTCAAAAATACAATGTGATGTCATAGTTTTTAGAGGTTTTCATCTAGTTACCCACTCTAGAGGAAAGACTATTTTAGGTAATGTAAATAATGAAATAGAAATAAATAGAGTAAATATCCCCACTCATTCTATGCTTGTATCAAGTCAAAATTCATCTTTAAAACTTAACATTTTCTGGCTTTCTTCTAATTACTGGATTTATGAATTTTTTCATGATGTGAAAGATGTGAGAACAGTAAGTGTAGTCTAAAATCATGTGAGATTGTGACCAACTGGATCTGGCTCTGAAAATTTATCACATTTATATCAAATTTATTATATTGAGTGTCAACACAGAGCGACACTAAGTAGGTGTGATTGTGTCCTCTGAAACTCACTTTGATGTAGCTGACAGAGCCCCAGCCTAGGAGTTAGAAGACAACTATCTCTGTGGCTCTCAGTTTCAGGTTTCACTTGTATTGAATTATTATTATTTAGCCAAACACTTAGATGCAATATTGCAGAGAAGCACAGTCAAAAAAGACAGACAAAAACTGAGAGCAGTGAGGTGTGCTGCAGGCATGGGGTTTGTAGCCTCAGCTGCACAGAGTGCCTACGGGGCTATTCAGGTGACCCCTGAGCCTCTAAGGAGCAGTGTGAAAACAGGTGAATCAGAGATGCAGGCGCTCTACCATCAAATACATGGTTGATTTTTTTTAAGGGACTATTTTCCAAAATAAGATACTGTGTAAGGTCAAAGGAAAACTACAGATCATGCTGACAGAAGAAAGTCAACTTCAAATCTGATAATTAAATTTTTAAAAATTAAAAAATAAGGAAAGGACAACACTTATTACTGTAAAAGTTTGACAAAAAGACTAACTCATCAATTCAGAATTATAAAATTTTCCAGTTACTATTTGAAGTATGGTAGCTATTTGATTTAGGAAAAAAAGTTGTTTTTAAACACAGTACTTAAGTTTTTTAGAAATGTTTTCCAGCTTATTTTAATAAAATCAGTTTTGAAAGTGTAATTGAAATATTCAATAGGCATTTAAGTAGAAGGTAATAGTAAAAATAAAAAAACCCTTTAATCTATATATCAAATGCACAGCCTATGAGAAAAAGCAGAGAAAAAGAAATCTAGATGACTATCTTGTTGATAGTTATATAATAATTCTGGAGAAAGTACCTGTAGATAATAAAAACATTTATTTTATTCATAAGACCTTCTCTAATGCAAAAATGTTAAATATGGCAACTATGCTAGGAAAAGCATTTTAGTATTAGAGACCAATTTTTTTAACATAAAAAATCCATCATTAAGATCTATTAAAAAAAGAATAAGCTACTTTAATAATTCTCTTTTAATTTGGCAGTTTTATCTCCCAAAGAAATCAGGAAGGAATAAAAAATGAACTATGGTAATGAGGTATCTTCCTGTAATTACTGAGTCTACCCTACATAGCAGACAATTATTATTTAAAAAGCATTGTTTTCTTATTTAAATTGCAAATATTGAGACCTGATTTCAGATATCTAGTTAACTTTGGATTTTTAAGAAAAAAAAAGAAAAGTTAACTTGATTCAATTCTTACAAGAAAAATTTATCCACCTAAATATAGTCTCCATAGATTAAAGAGTTTTACTCTTTTCATTGCTCAATTCCCAGCACTTAGACCAGGACTAGAACATAGTAGTAATTTAACTAAACATTTGTTGAAAGAATAAACGAATGAGACCAGTACATTTTAATTTGATAAAATGCATGGCATGAACCTTTAAATGTTCTCTGTTTTTTCTTCCAAGTAATATAATTGCATTGTGGATCAGCAACTATAGTAATCCATTCTTGTTTTAGAGACAATGTAGTAATGTTACATTTGATTTTAAAAGTTTGGTTGAATGTTTGAGCAACTTTGCATCTCTGTCTTAAAAAGTTAGCTTGTGCTTTAATTCTGGATTGTAAGGTATAGTTTTGGATCAGACTTTACCTGACAGGATAAAGACATAGCAGGTAATATATTTTGAATAAAAGTGCCCTGACCTGAGCTACTTGAGGTGAAAAGAGTTTCTGTTATGAGATGATCTGGAGGAAAAAAATACAGATTTTTGGCATGGATAGGTACTAATTTGGTGAGTATTTCTCCAAGTACGTTTTAGACCATCTGCATCATAATCATCTGGGCACTTGAATGATGAGCTCCTAAGACCTTATAGTACTTATTAATATAGTTCATTATTTACTATGTTTTTCATTTCTGTGATACAGGATAACTAAATCTGCAATGCTAGACACCTGACATGTTCTATACCTGATCTTGCTGGATGTGCTCTGGGAAGTCTCTACCATAGGTCTAGAGCAGATTACATTACAAGTCACAGGTGATAATTACAAGGAGGCTGTATATTAAGGAATGTTAATGATTATTCTTATGTACACGGTGGAACCCCCTAAACTCTATCAGAACCAGATATTAATAAAAACACTTACAAGGTGAATCTTATCTGGACAAATACAGATGTGACTCAATTTGGAAGTTCTCTCTTAATGTGAATTGACCTTTGAAAATTGTCTAATTTCAACCAAAAATGAAATTTGAATTTTGTTACACATACCTTTCCTTCTTTCCAAGATAAAGCCTAAATATTAACATTAATGCCAATACTTTTATTTAAACACTACCACACTTTCATTGAAACAATATTATTACTATATTAAGATTTTGGTAACCACTGCCATATAGTATTTCAATTTAAAGATCTAAACGATTCTTCAATTATTTAACAAAATAGAGTATATTTTTCTGAATTTGTTATTGTGACAATTTAGAAATGGTCAGTATTATGTGTTTATAATTTCTCCAAAATCAATAATATCATTGGGGGCATAATTTTATTGCTTTCACATTCCTTCCTGCTCTGTTAAGTCTAATGAGGCTTATCTGTCCTTTAGGTGACCTACAAACGAGATCTGTATGCAGCTGAATCGATTATTAAGGGTATGTTTGGCATTATGACTGTCAGTTCCTGTGTTTCCAAAATGTAAGCCAGTTCAGAATTTATCATGACACATTAAATCCCAGAATTCTGAGAAGTATAAAAGCCTGTAGGACATGTAGTCTATGATTTATTTTCTTGAATAATAATTACACTTTGTGTTTCCTGCTTGTGAAGTATCACTATGATTTATGATACATGGTTTTCATTTTTATAAAGGACATCTTTGGTTTATTAATTTGAGAAAAGCATGGAACATTGGTGCTATTAAAAGTGAAAAGCGCTGTTTTAACAAATTTATAAAGGTACTTATTTTTAGTATATGAGGACTCCCCAACACTGTCATATCAGTCAGTACATTAGAGAGAATCTTTCATATGAAAAAGATTTTTGCCCCGAAATGGAGAAATTGGACTGTATGATTTTTCAGTTCTTTTTTGTTTCTGACAATGACAGGGGTTTTGTTTTATAATTTTAGATATTATAAGTGTAAGAGCCCTTTTCTCATTCTTTTTCATCTCTGTCACTCCCTGTCACACAAATGTAGTTGACGTAATTGATTTAATAATCAACAAATACTTATTATTGTGCTTCACACTGTGCTAGGAGTGTAATGATACTGCACAAGGGATATTCATTCTGTACTTTTGCAGCCTTTATCATATACATCAGGGTTTCCTAACCTTGGAACTATTGACATTTTAGACCCCCTAATATTTGTTGAGAGGACTGTTTCCTGCAATATAAGATATTTTTTTTTAGCAGCATGCCTGGCCTCTATTCACTAGTTACCAGGGGCACTCTTCCCTCCCACACTCCCCTGGTGTGACATCAAAGGTGCCTGCTGACAGACCCATTCTTGTGTAAATATGGTCCTAGCAAAAATCAGAGTGCCAGTTCGGAAGCAAGCATGGTGCTTTACAATCTGTTAGCAACTGACTCCTTTGAAAATAGATTTAGAACTATGTGCTCAGCTTTTGATTGAGAGGTGAATTTTTAAATCCAAGCTCTGAAGTTGAAAAAATACTGAGTCTGAACTCTGAAGACATCAGTTTATTTCAAAATTTTGCAATAACCTATTTAACAATCAATTGGCTTCACATATAGAAAACACAAATGTTTCTCTGGTATTCTGTATTTGTATTTCAGCCTCAAGATTTTTGTTCTCCAAGAATATTGTATTTCAGACCATTAATGTATCATACTTGGTGCATCTGTGTAAGCAAAAGGATTATCTATAGCTATAAATCAAACTGTTGACATATTTACACATCAGGCAGGCAATGTGTAAACATTACTGTGGAGAAGTTAGCTAAACCTCGATGTGGTTGGTTGCATTTTCAACACAAGGAAATAGAAAACTCCGTTTGGTTTCCTTACAAAGACATACCTCCGTTACTTAGGTATCTGTTTTGTGAGTAGTTGGTATGTGGTTCAATTGAGGATCTATACATTTCAATATTTGCCTATCAAATATATTACCAGAGCAGGCTTCTTATATGTAAAAGCCTACGTTTTAAGTGTAATTATAGGGGCTATAGTTCTGGAAATTGTTTGCAGAGAGAAAATGTTTTCCTCACTTAAGTAACATGTTTCAGTATTCTACTTCTATCTTTAAAGTATTTAAAGAGTATTGTACTTTTTCTCTTTTTTGTTATTTTTGTTTTTAATTGAAGTATAGTTAACATACAATATTATAGCTTCAGGTGTACAACTTGGTGATTTGACAATTATAAACATTATAAAATACCACAATAATTACCATTTGTCAACATGCAAAGTTATTACAATATTACTGACTATATTCCCTATGCTGTCCTTTTAATCTCTGTGATTTACTTGTTGAACTACTGGAAGTTTGTACTTCTTAATCCCCTTGCCTATTTCATCCATCCCCTATCCCCCCACTGCCAAACCACCTATTTGTTCTCTATATTTGTTTGTTTTGTTCACTTGTATTGTTTTTAAATTCCACATACAAGTGAAATCATATGGTATTTGTCTTCCTCTGACTTATTTCACTTAGCATAATACACTCTAGGTCTATCCGTGTTGTTGCAAATGGAAAAATTTATTTCTTTTTTATGGCTGAATAATATTTCACTGTGTATTTATAACCTGTCTTCTTTATCATTTACCTATTGATGGACGCTTAGGTTCCTCCATATCTTGGCTACTGTAAATAATGCTGGGATAAACATAGGGGTGCATTTATCTCTGAGAATTGGTGATTTTGTTTTTTGGGTGAATTCCCAAAAGTAGAATTACTGGGTCATATGGTATTGATATGTTAAGTTTATTTTTATTTTTATTTTTATTTTATTTTTTTGAAAGGGCATCTCTCATATTTATTGATCAAATGGTTGTTAACAACAATAAAATTCAGTATAGGGGGGTCAGTGCTCAATGTACAATAATTAATCCACCTCAAGCCTAATTCTCGTCAGTCTCCAATCTTCTGAAGCATAACGAACAAGTTCTTACATGGTGAACGAATTCTTACATAGTGAATAAATTCTTACATGGTGAACAGTACAAGGACAGTCATCACAGAAACTTTCGGTTTTGATCATGCAATATGACCTATAAACCATCAGGTCAAATATGAATATTCATTTGATTTTTGTACTTGATTTATATGTTGATCCCACATTTCTCCTATTATTATTATTATTTTTATTTTTAATAAAATGCTGAAGTGGTAGGTAGATGCAAGATAAAGGTAGAAAACATAGTTTAGTGCTGTAAGAAGGCAAATGTAGATGATCAGATGATCAGGTGTGTGCCTATGGACTAAGTATTAATCCAGGCTAGACAAGGGCAGCAAGACATCCACGGATGCAGAAGATTTCTCTCAAAGCAGGGGGGGTGAGGTTCTGAGCCTCACCTCTGTTGATCCCCAAATTCTCACCTGATGGCCCCCCTGCGACTGTGCCTGTCTTAGGTTGTTCCTCCCTTGAGGAATCTTACCCGTCTCTGGCTAACCAGTCATCTTCCGGGGCCATACAGGGAAATGTAAAGTTGGTAAGTGAGAGAGAAGCCATATTGTTTGCAAAGGTTAGCTTTTTACTTCTTTGCAGATTTATGCCCTGTGGCTTCTATGCCCAGCACTTGTCTCGAGGTATCTTTACCACCTGGAGGAATTATGATACTCGGTAAATTCGATATGAGGCACGAATTCTATTTAAGGTTTGTAATTAGGAAGGAAGAAGAAAAGCTATAGATGTAGCATATGAAGGAAACTTGGGAGGATTGATTATTTCTTTGACATATCTTCTTGTATAGTACCTTAAGTATGTATAGGTTTTAAACTACTAACTAATTTGCACACACATATTAACATAATAGGAATACGGTGACATAAACAAAGCAAATCTATAATTACCAGCCATCTCCAGTGAAGCCAAGAAAACCATTTAGGCACCCTAGGCATTTGTGAAAATTTATCTATGATATGATGGATATTTTCCAACTGTACTTGAACCATCAGACAAATTAAAGCAGCCCATTTCTGGGATCTGTTCACATCCCATATGTTCTTTTAACCATAGATAGTCTATAGTCATGAGATTTTGGGGTGCTACAACTTGCACCCCTCCCAACTCCTGGTTGAGTTCCAACAGTACAGATCCAGTCAAATTCGTTGTCTCACTGTATGCACATGCCAGCCTAGACATCTCCCTCCTCCTTCTTATGGCAAGTCCAGGAGATGGTGGGCTGGATGCAGCCACAACCGCAGCATCGTCCGGATCCCTGTGGAGGCTTTTTGATGATCATCCCCCGGCACGAGTCCTCCAGAGAGTGCTGATGCCGGAAGCTCCTCCTCATATCGTATCTTAGTTCATTTTCTGGGTATCCAAGCTAGGCCTTGATCTTCTGCGTAGAAACAAACAGACCCTTTGCCCACACTTTGACATGCCCTCTATACCACTGTGCAGAACTCATTGGAGGTCAGCACACAGTAACTTTTTTTTTTTTTTTTTTTAATTAAGAGAAAGGAATATTATCAGAAAAGAGTACCTCCATAGCTGATCATCTGACACCCTTTAAGTGATCAACATTAAGGATATTTAAAGCATGCGTTGATCTTTGATTTACCAATAGTTTTATCCTGTTAAGGAGTAATCCCCCTTTTCTTTCTTTTTTTTTTTTTTTTTTTTTAAATTTTTAATCTACACTTACCTGAAGAATACTATGTTTACTATGCTCTCCCCTATATCAGGTCCCCCCTAACAACCACATTACGGTTACTGTCCATCAGCTTAGCAAAATGTTGTAGAGTCACTACTTGTCCTCTCTGTGTTGTGCAGCCCACCCTCCCCTTTCTCCCTCCCCCCATGCATGCTAATCTTAATACCCCCCTTCTTCTTCCCCCCCCTTATCCCTCCCTGCCCACCCATCCTCCCCAGTTCCTTTCCCTTTGGTACCTGTTAGTCCATTTTTGGGTTCTGTAATTCTGCTGCTGTTTTGTTCCTTCAGTTTTTCCTTTGTTCCTATACTCCTCAGATGAGTGAAATCATTTGGTATTTCTCTTTCTCCGCTTGGCTTATTTCACTGAGCATAATACTCTCCAGCTCCATCCATGTTGCTGCAAATGGTTGGATTTTTCCACTTCTTATGGCTGAGTAGTATTCCATTGTGTATATGTACCACATCTTCTTTATCCATTCATCTACAGATGGACATTTAGGTTGCTTCCAATTCTTGGCTATTGTAAATAGTGCTGCGATAAACATAGGAGTGCATCTGTCTTTCTCAAACTTGATTGCTGCGTTCTTAGGGTAAATTCCTAGGAGTGGAATTCCTGGGTCAAATGGTAGGTCTGTTTTGAGCATTTTGATGCACCTCCATACTGCTTTCCACAATGGTTGAACTAATTTACATTCCCACCAGCAGTGTAGGAGGGTTCCCCTTTCTCCACAGCCTCGCCAACATTTGTTGTTGTTTGTCTTTTGGATGGCAGCTATCCTTACTGGTGTGAGGTGATACCTCATTGTAGTTT